ATAATGTGGACACGTGAGGCATGCTTTTCGCGGAATAAAAGGTACAACATCCATTACTGGGCACTGGAAAATCTATCATGTTCTGCTGACGTTTGACATCAAATACGGTTTTCGATTAATGTTTGCTGTGGAATTTATAATAACAGACTAATCAGCTCAATATTTTACCAGGATACGTTAACGGCCGCACAATATTTAGAACTTCTGCAAGACATAATACCCGATTTTGTTGAGAACCTTCAATTCCTGAATGGATGGTCCCAACATGACGTCGCAAGTGAAGCAGTACCTGATGGAGGAATTCGGAGAAGAATAATCGGGTACGGTGGTTTCGAAGAGGGGCCTCCACATTCACCTGACCTGATTCCAATGGACTTCTTGTGCGGATACTTCAAGCAGCAGGTGTATGTGACCCCTCTACAAACATTGCGGGTCCTTCAACGACGTATTACAAATGCTTCTACAGACGTGTCACCCTTTATGCTACAACGTGCAACAAGAAGTTCTAACAAGGGTTCAGATGTGCATCTCAACTGACAGTAGAAGTGTCAAACATCAAAAATAAAGGTAGCTTGTAATAACTAGTTGTTTGTTTTTTTTCTAAGATCATTTCGTAGAGTCACAGTTCCGGAAATTGGAAAAAAAAAAAAAAAAGCGTGTAAAAAGTTTTGTTATCATTCATGTCCACGAGGTGTCTTTTTGTACTAAACTGACGATACTCTACAACTTTGTACTTCACTTTTTCTTAGTATCTCTTATCATTTTGGAGATAGGGACGCTAACTCTGCTAATTTCCACCAGGTGGCGTTGAAAGCTATCTCACCTAGTATCTCATAGACACTTTATTACACCTGGACACCATTTTTATGATTATAGCCGCAGCCGTTCGGCAGTTAAACGGGTGGTACAGGACTTTAGTGGGCACCCTGTATATATATACTCACTTTGTTGCTCGGCTCCATGAGCTAAGTTTTTTTTAAATTCTTTTATGTTTGTAAAAAAGTGCTTTTTTTTTTTTTTTTTTTTTTTTTTTTTTTGCTTTAAAAATGATAGAATTATGCTGTACTTTATCTTCCGGTTTTAAGGTTTTTATGCCTTTAGTTAATCTGAATGCAATAGTTGTCGAATTATCAACAACTTAAAAGTTGTTTAAGTATGGTTAAGCCTAATTTTTTTACCATAGCAGCGATATTTGTTTACATTTGAAAGCAGAATAGGGAATTAACTCCGCTTCTGCACTTTCAGCGTCTTTTTGCCGAGTGGGACCAAAAGAAAACTTTTTTGTGCGCCGAAAAAATCTGCCTTCTTTCCTGCCAGCCGAGCTGATTGTTTTTACGTAGAAAGCCTAGTTTGAGTTTCAAAAATTTTTCTTTTAATTGTTTTAACTGTCTTGTCTCGAAGAGAGAAGTGAATTAACTGAATGAGAAATATATCTCGATTGAAATTCGAGGAAATGAGTTTAAATGAAATGCAGAAAAAAATACCTATAGTTTAATTTCTGTAAAAGGTGTGGTTTAATGTTCTGTGTGATATACACTTCAGATTTTTAATTTTAAAGTGCCGCGTTCTTTTTGAACGAGGAATCCAGGTACTAAGATTAGATGCAGATTTTGAATATTTTCATTTTCAGGAAAAGGAAACAGACAAAACAAAAAAAGAAATTGCAGAAAATTTTCATTTCCCTTTGGGGAAAAAGTCCCTTGAAAAAAACCTCTACGACAAATGAAGGATGATTTTTAGCATAACTGAAAATTTTATAATTGTACGTTTATCATTTTTTACGTCTGCTACCATTACCCCTGACATTTCCGGGCATACAATTCTTAATCCTTATGATGTGCCCTTCCTCCCCCAAAAGTTTGTCGCAACATTTACGGTACACCCTGTATATGTATATATATGTAATATAACTGCTTCATTATTGTAATAAGATGACTCGAAGAAAGAAAGTTGCCATGGATTGGCGGTGATTCTCTGCTTTGTAACTTGGAGAAACTTCTCTGCGTAGTTACATAGACGACACTCGAAGAACACACATGACGGTAAATTCCACAGATAATTTTATTCCTCGAAAATACGCATCATCACCATGGGTGCGCTATGCACCCCCCCCGAAAGTTTGTACAGCACACTTTTCTTAAATAATGGTCGAAATTGGAAAATTAAAACTCTGCGTAGCTAGCGGCAAGGCGACACAAAGCGTGTAGAGGTAGAAGGGAAGAGAGAAGAAGAGATGAAACTTAGACTCTATAATTGACCGAGCTATTGCGAAGTGCAATGTTGCCGGTTCCAGAATTAAAGCCCAAGGGCACTTGATATAAAGAAATCCGGACGTGGAGAAAATCTCAGATGAGAAAACGGAGGAAAGAGGAAGAAGAGAAGTACCAAAAGGAGCAAGACAATCCAGTCGGACAAGTTCGCAAAACGTGACGAGCGATCATAGCTTTCAAGAAGTACCCAAGATAATGCAAATTCAATGACAACAATATGAGAAAGATACACTACAGCAATGGTTCCAATGACAAATTCAAATACAATAAAACAACCTCAATCAATACAACTAAATACTACAACACATAATTACAATACAACTGTACAATTCAGAATTACAACTATGCAACTCAATTCACGACAGCAGTTCAACAACTATAGCTACTCAGACAACAACCTAAGCAACCTATTGCAACACTACTATTATCATCACAACAATGCGAAAAATTCTCACAGCATTGGTTATATATCAATCTCCAAGAATAATATTCAGAGCTGCAGAAGAACTTCAATCAAAATCCGATGCATTGGAAGTATAAGCAGCTAACGATTGAGGAGCTAAGTGATAAATATTGTCGTCTTCTCCCATGAAGGTGTGAAGCTGCAAGTGGATCTGACGCTTCTATCTTCGAAGAGAATTTTCATAATTAAAGACTTGGGAGTAATTAACATAATTAAGTCGCATTGCACAGCTTTGTTGAAGAATTTTTCATTAGATCTTCTGATATGTAATCCTGGAATTTGTCTCAAGGTTTAAAGTCTCTGTGTAAAAGTTTATTGCGGATAAGATAGTGTGAATCAGTAATAATGCGCAGAAATTTGTTTTGCACTACTTGTAATTGATGCAGTTGAGTTTGAGTGACCGTGTTCCAAGCAGGAGCAGCATAACAAAGTATCGGTCGAATGCTGTGATGCAATTAACCTTTTATAGCATTTCAGATCACATGACAGTTTAACGTCCAGATGTTGGGTTCAGATTTCACCGATAAGTGCGCAATACAGATTAGATGACGGATCGTTTTCGTTTAGTTAGAAAAATTATTGCAGGACCAGCTTGAGAGTTAAACACCATTTGTTTTTGAATGACGAATTTCTTAACACATATTTTCATAACTGATAGAAGAGACTGCTAAACGCGCCCCATAATGTTAGACAAGCAATTACATTTTAAATAATGGCGAATAGCTAGCAGAGGCTGAGCGACACGTTGTCAGCAGGCAGGCGAAAGCGAGCGAGACTACGCACTTAATAGCTATTTATACTAGATAGGTGCATATGTATAGCTAAGCTGCGATTGGTTAATTTTAGGTTTTAGTTCCCTTTGCAAAGCACCGTTATGTAACTTAGAAAGATCTCTAATTTGGGAGAACAGATTATAAGGTATTTCTCCCACTTCCCTAGCGTGCCTTCGTGGTGTAACGGCAGCACGCTGGGCCGGTATTCCAGAGGTCCGTGGTTCGATTCCCGGCGAAGGCGGTTGCTAATTTTTCATCTTTTTTGCTTCCAAAAATCCTAATGACTCTACAAGATTAACTTAGGGGGAGAACATAAAATATAGAATAGTAAATTTTAAGGTATTATTAATAGTCAATTTTAAGGTATAAAATAAGAATAGTCAATTTTAAAATATAGAATAGTCAATTTTAAGGTTTGATTGGTAAATATTCTAACTGTAATAAAAATTAGTTGCAGCATTTGAAACGTGTATTTTTATGGTATGATGATTGGTGTATAATATGTGTTGAATAATTATGTATTTTATGTATATTTTACTTGGGAATTAGTTCCTGTTTTCCATTAGACGTTTTATTTTAGAATATGTGCTTAATATGGTTGGAATACCAGTCAATTTGTATTGACTAGAACTGTTTAACAAATCTGTAGTTTTGCACAATTTAGAATTGTATTGAAAAATTTAAGAATTAATTTCCTTCTTTTTTATCATCTGGGAGCCAAGTCATTATTTACAAAACATTTGCTTCTATGGATAATAGTAAAATAGTGTACATATTACAATGAACTTCTCCATTGCAATTTCGTGATTGCCTTGTGGATAATTGCGACACAGTGTGCAAATTGCTATGGACGCACATTATGAAGTGTGCAAACTGTTAAGGACACGAAGTTATGATGTATCGAAGTGAACAAATAGTATTTATTTGATCGATGAACTTAACAAAAGTGAACATAAAATAGCCTACACAACATCATATACTTTGCGCTATGGAACTATCAACTGCCTGAACTGATGTGACTGGCTTACTCTGTGGATAACTGCAAAAATAATACGGACACACATCATTAGATGTGTAACTGATAAGAGCATGAAGTTATGACGTATTGAAGAAGACATAGGTTTTAAAACTGGTTAATATATAAGTTCCACTCTCCACAACATAGATCCTATCCATGACAATGTAATTATTAATTGATCGTATATTTATTTTTCATACTGATTATTATGTAACAATTATCGTATAGATGACATTGTCAATTTAGCATTGTAATATTACTATCATTGATTCAGTGAATGCCGCTGACGGTGGATGGTAGATTCTTTTCCGTCGCACGGACATATAACTTTGATTTGTGTAGAACCTTAGGTCGGAGGTCCATGCGACTGCGTATCAGTCAGTTTTAAGGTCGCCAATCATTTCCTAGCCCAGCCATCGCATTTTTTTATATCTTACATATATATGTATATAATGTAAATGAACTTTTCAAAGTACCTGAAGTTCCGCCACTGACGAAAGAAGACCGGCTCCATAGACACGCATTTCTCCACCCTGCTTGCAGAGTCCGAATTCCACGGTGAAAAAATAACACTGAAAAGAACAAGAAAATGTAATTAGCGTCGCATTTAACTATATTATAATTTGGAATTTAGCAACCGGTGGTTTGCTATATGCAGCAGATTGCTAGAATCTAAAATATATGAAAGAAAAGTATACTGAGGTATCACTGAATTAGGGATAGACAGCGTTATGCAAATACCGCCAAGCTTACTGTCTCATTTTTGCTCGTGTAAGGACACTGCCGTGCGATTTACATTGCAGGAACTGTAGAATTCGCTAAGGAAATTTAAAAGTAACACGATGGGCACAACTGACAATTTCGAAGCCTTCAATAAAAAAAAAAAAACAAAATAATAGGTGAATTCGATAATTGGTGCTTTCTCATTCCACAGTACAGTGTACTCTTGGTTATCCGGGCTAATGCCTGGAAAGCATTACACAGATAATTGAAACTATCACTTTTCATGCATATTGTATGGATTTATTTCTTTAAAAAATGTGCAATTTGTTTTTGAGAATGTTTAAATATATGTTGAATTTAATAGCGTGTTTTTCGGAGTTATATTTGTATTCGAATCCGCTTTGATTGACACAATCCTATAGAATTTCAACAGAAGTCATTGCTGTTTGGATAAGGATAAAAATAAGGAACGGGGGACGTGGGCACTCTGCCTCTACCATACGGTTAATTAGTACAGCACCACGTCGACCATGATCTAGAGAACCCTGAAGACAACACTAATTCAAATACGTGAGTACATTATTGAAAATGAATGATTGATTACAAACAATTGTGGTATACCTTGGCAGTAAAATTGTTGCATTTGTGTAAATAACAAGTTACGATAAAGACAAAGATGTAGTGATAGTCTGTAAAGTGCTAACGATTAGTATTCCAGTTGTTGCCATTAAAAGAGGATACCTCCTGCTGTAATGGTCACTCCAGGGTCATTTATTCTGCTGCGCAGAGGTCCGTGCTGAGACTGGCTAGCTTCTCCATAATTTTGATGAGCTGCCGGCAGAAGTGCTTCTGTTTGACCACGAGCTTACAGAATGCCTGTGTGTTTGTAGTGGGAATACGTATGTGCATCCCGTGGTCAGAGAGCAGGTAGTGACGTAATGCTCCGGAGTCCCCAGGTGAATTGCTGTCTGGAGACTAATGTCATTGTCAGTATCACTCTCTGCCTCTTCTGTGTTGTTGTTGCTAATGCTCGTCTGATCTATAGTCAGTCCAAGCCCACGAAATTCCTCTTGGCAGGAAGCGCAAATTTACGACTGTCTCTGGCAGCAGCCTTGAGCACCTTATAGCTGACAGTGCGATTTAGCTCAGTTCCGCCTCCAATTTTGATGGACATCACCTGGGGAGACGGGTCCGATCAACCCCCTCTTTCCCTCCCATCAACCTCTCGAGAGGACTCTCGGCTCGCCACATATTTAGAGTGCCCCCATGCCACACGGACAGTATACATTTACAAACACTCATGCCTTCTCCAGGATTCGAACCCTGGCCTTTCGGCATGGCAGTCAGCGCGCTAACCACTGTACTATCTCTGGATTAATATAATTGTCAGTATCACTCTCTGCCTCTTCTGTTCTTATGACATTTGAAGCCGTATGTGGTCAAATATTAAAAGGTCGAATCTCCATCGAACTCTTCCTCGATGTATTCCTGATCGACGTGTTCGAAGAATTTTTTATTTTCATTTTTTTTGGGCATACAACTAGTTATTACCTTGACTTGAGTATTCTTAGGAAGCATAAACTACAGGCTTTAAAAAATGTATAGAAGAATTATCTTCTAGACTTGGGAAACAAAACAAAAGTCAGAACAAGTGTGTACAAGATCCTTTTATTTGAATACAAAGAAGTAACAATGACCCAACATGGGGTTTACACAAGCAAGCACTTCTGGCTAAACTTAGATACATAATGTTGAACTGAAATCAAATGTAACGGACTAGCCTAACGGCTCACAGGATAAAGTTACGTGCAGGAAAGGCTCTGGTTGGTAGAAAAACGGCGAGATAAGCCTAATGGCTAGAAGCACTCAACGTTACAGAATCAATTCGCTAATAAGTCAAGGTATAACGTTGTCTGAAGTAGGCAAAACACGCTCTAAGATTAATTTGCGTAACCGCCGCTTAAATAGCAATTCTTTCTCCCTCAATCTGAATAAACGCTTGCTATCTCATTTACATTGTGGCATGAAAAGTGTTGGTGAAAAGAGAGTGGGTGAAAAGTGTTTAAACTTAAATTAACTATTAGTTAAAAATAAATAGATAAATCCTCACAACTTCCTCATAATTGCATAAATATTCTATTTCTGTATTTCTGTTTTTTACATACTGACACAGATAGCACTGAGTACGCCTGCATGGGCACCGTCCAACACGAATAATCAGCAACCGAATAATCGCCAGTATACTATATTAAGTGTATCGGATAGGGTTTAGTTACGCTGACTGCCGTGTCGAAAGCCCCGAGTTCGAATCCCGGAGGCATGGATATCTGTAAATATATAATGGTATAGTTTAGTTTAGTTTACGAGTATGCTGCAACCTTCCTGGCCGATGATAATAATCGGCCTTCCTCGATGTATTTCTAATAATCGGCCTCATGATTAACGCAGCCCACCAGCGGCCGAGCGGTAAAGTCGTTGAACACTGGTAGTTCGGTCCGAGGTTCGAATCCCGCGAACGGGCTGGCTGCATGGGCGTTTTCGTGGTTTTCCCCATGTGTAACGTGTATACGAGCCAGTTTCCCTTAGAAAGTCCTCCACGAAAGGCATCCCTTCCCTTAGCCAAATAGCCCTAGTGTGCTTTGCCGTATTCTCAATACACACACACACATGATTAACGCATCACACCCGCCGCAGACAAACAAAAATACAATTAAAAGATAACAAAAGATTAAAACACAGATTAAACAGTTTAACACAGATTGTGTATCTTTAAAAATACACACACACAATACAAAATAAGGAAAATCGTAAGTATTAACGGTTAGAAAATAAAAAAATAGTAAGACGACACATAACTCCCTCACCCAACACAAAAACTCGCAAACAAAAGAAAAACTAAATTATTTAATGTCCTATTCCTATGATAGTCTTGTTTTCATTCACAATCCTCATAATTTCTGTTGCATAGCTATTCAAGAATTTTTTATTTTCAGTTGCATTCTGTTCATTTATTTTTCCAAATCTCGTCTTCACACTCTCGGTCAGTTTACATTCTTCCATAAAATGAGCTGCATTTCCGTACTTCCCACAAACCAAGCATGGATCATTGCCCTGGAGATTAAAACGTTTTAAATAGCCCGGGAATCTACCATGATCCGTGATAACTTGAATAGTATCTATATTTATTAAATAGATCCATTTTTGTTTTTATGGTCAAAATTTTCAAATAACCCTTATTTTTATTTGAACCATTTCGTTCCCGAGCCCATTTGTCAATTACACTTGCTTTCATTTTTCTCAAGGTTATTCTTCTGGAATCATTAATATCGTCATAACTATCACCCTCTCCCGGGGCTGCCTCTATAGCTATATCCGCCCGGTAACACCAATATGTGCCTTGACCCAATGAAAATATATAGCATTTTTCTCTCTTATTTTGTTATCACTGTTTTTTATATCCAAAAGAAGTCTATTGCTTGTTTCCAGATATAATGGTATAGTATGTGTGCAGCATGAGGCAGTTAAAATGTACGGCGAGCCGAAAGTCCTCTCGAGTGCTTTGGCAATAGGCAAAAAGGGATTGTAGACCGCCTGTCCCACGGAATGCTGTCCTTCAAACTTGGGGAAGAACTTGGAAAAGTCATTCTGTCACCAATATGTTGCGCAAGCATTATACCAACGAAAGGCGCAATCGTTCACTATTTGCCACGATAAAATTCGTGAGCTTGTTCTGATTATCTTACGAGACTAGAGACAACAAATCTTAGCTCAGATGACTATCTAACAAAGTGAGGGATCCAGTCGACAGTCAGTAGCTGGATTTTACCGCCCTCGTTTCAGCATATAGATTTCAGAACCCGAAGACCCATAAGAGTACCACCTCTTATAGCACGCCATTACGTCCAATGTATCGCATGAGTCACAGAAATCATGATAAATGTGAAGTGATGAATTTCGATTCTGAATTCAAGTTAAGAATATGACTTTAGAAACTTTAGAACACATGTTGACATATATTCAGTGTGGGTTGCGATTCAGTATTGGTTTGGGTTGTTTTTCTTTTGACAATGTTTGATACACAAACCAGGTCAAACTCTTGCAAGAAATCCAATTTTGAAGCTCAAGGGCCGTGCAATCAAACGAACTCGTGAACTAAAACTGCTGGGGCTTGTAATCGATGAAAGGCTCTCCTGGCTGCCTCACCTCAGAGTAGCCTGCACGAGAACATACGCAATTGCAAATACTTTAAGGGGCCTTAAACCACATATCCTAAAAATCCTCTATCAGTCCATCGTGGGAAAAATGGCCCTCTATGGACCGGCGATCTGGGCAACTTCAAATGAACGAAAGGGAAAGGAAAGTTGTTTACATAGTTTTGTTTAGTACTATGCAACGCCTCTTTGCCCTGGTTATTACAAAAGGATATCATACAACAGCGACAGCGGCAGCTACAATACCGGCGGGATTTTCGCCACTACATATTAGAGCAGCACAAGAAGCAACAGTAACGACTGTCCTGCAATTACATCTTTGCACCACTTTTGGACCGCTATGTTATGATCCAGAAGACTATGAAACAAAACGTCTCATAAATGCAACCCATTCATCACCATGAAAAGGGGTTATAGCACACATCACATCTCAGCACAGCCCCCGTGAAGAAAAAAGGCCATTAAATGTCATCCATCCGTCTGACTACAGACAAGGAGTCTCGGCCCACACATCACGGAAAGATGATTCTGACATAAAAGATCAATATTATATTTACACGGATGGTTCAAAAGTTGACGGACAGGTAACTGTGGCTTCATAGTAACTAAGAACAAGGAAACACTGATAACATAAAAAGGTCATTTATAGGACAGAAAAATTCAGTATGCCAAGCTGAAGCAATTGCGATTCGCAAAGCTATAGAGTTAACAAGTCCCCCAGTAGGATCCACTATCAATATTCTTACAGACAGCCTGTCAGTCATATATGCCTTACGAAATCCCAGACATCCTTCTCCTGTCATACCGGAGATTCAGGACATGCTGAAGGAGAGTTCGCAGACAACGAATACCCTCATTTCTTGGATAAAGACGCATGCCGGCATACAAAGTAATGACGAAGCCGACACGCTAGCAAAAGAAGCAGCTCAGAATATCGATGTTCAAAGCGTTATAACCAAACTCCCGTGGTCTCACCTTAAAAAAGTGACAAGGACAGCAGCACAACATCAGTGGCAAAGGGAATGGGACACTGCCGAACAAAGCAGAAGGACTTATGAATACTATCATAAAGTTTTGCCCGATCGTCTTAAGTCATCCCTTTAAATAACGAGATTTGTGACGAGGCACGGGCCCTTTCCCTCCTATTACTATGAGCGATGAATTGCAAATACCGATAGATGTGTCTGTGGAGCCATCGGCAAACAGACCATTACTTGACCTAATGACCTCTAACCGCACAGTGGCATGTGCAGCTTCCGGAACAGGCAGTTTCTCATAAGCATCAAACAGCCAGCATTTCTCAGCAAAATATGCAGATAATGCAGAAACTGGAAGAATTGGGAAGCCTTGTGCAGTGCGGAATAAATCCCGATCAATCTCTCTCTCTTTTTTCCCCTCTCCTGCAGATTGAGTAGAGATCAACATTGCGTATGTACTGTATATATTATGAAACATGTATGAATTATGGAAAATGAAAGTTATTATGAACTATGGACAATGAAAATTATTATGAACTATGTAAGCATATATTATAAAACAGGATCAATGTATTATGAACTATGTAAGCATGTATGAACTATGTCTATTATGAACTATGTAAGCAGGTATGAACTGTGTCCATTATGAACTATGTAAGCATGTGTAAGTATGAACTATGTAAGCATGTATTATGTAACATGTATTATGAAATAGCTCTGCTTTCAACTGTCAACTAATAATGTTTGGCACTTTTGGTACTTATACCAAGTAGCCTTATTCCATTCAAATACAGGATCGGCTTGCCCATCACATACATCCCTTCACGCATTCGATGGAAATGGAGTGTGCAGCAGGCAACTGTCCATATCATTGGTTTCCTTTAGTTTCGTTCGAGGAGCATTCCGCCGTGATCTCTCCGTGGGAATGGCCGCTGAGAAGGCCGAACTTAAAAGTCATTGAATACCTCTGGGACACCTGGAAAAGGTATACAAGCGCTTAAATCTCATTGAGCACTTTTGGAATATTCTGGAGAAAAGTACGCAAACATGTCATCCGCATCTGCGTTCTTAATCGATTTATGGAAATTCTAGACGACGGCTGGAAAACTATACATTGGGAAAACTTCCGTAGACTTGCTGCATTCATGCGTCATCGAGAGGCAGCCGTTATCAAGGCTGTAGGCAGCAACTCGTTACTAATCAGGTATCTTAAATTTAGTGGCGCTTCAGTGTATTATTAGAAACACAGCTGTCCATTAAAGTAAGATTAGGCGATATTTGTTATTTACAGTAAATTATTCAAATTTAAAATAGATTTTTAAGCCGAATAATTGTAATTTTATTTTGAATGAGTTAAAAATTTAGAATATGATTTGAGGAGCCAAATAACATTTTTATTTTTTTAACGAGCCAATTTCAGTAGTGTTATATGTTAGCACTATTTTTAGGTATTGAAGACGATACCTTTTATTATAAATAAGTTCCTTTTTTAGCCTCGGAAGGTCAATCTCTTTCGATATGCTTGTCGTAACATTAGTTAATATCTTAAGCTACGGAATCTCTGCCTGGATGTCATACTTAATCTGTTAGAATGTGAGCAGTTTATTCACGTCTAGTCGCTGCATCCCAAAAGGAATTGTCCGGAAGCTAAAAAAAGATGTGTCGGTAAATTAACCCGAAATATTTTTGCGATTACCTGCTAGTGGAAACCTCAGGTCCATTGGCGCCTTCACTATATGGGGAGTAGTCCCATTTTGTTAAAACTACAATTCAAGATGATGTCCTCTTACAAGGCCGTAATAAATTTCAGCTATATCTCATACTAGTGCCTATCAAAGCACTACCTACTACTATTTTTGCTCGTTTTGTTTGTTCGTGAATTCGTAGAAACGAATCTCTTAGAACTTGAGCTGTAAAATATAGAGGGTGTTTACACATTTTTGTAACGATTTTGCAAAGATTTATGTATAAACAAATTTCAGATTTTTTTTCGCTATTTCACCAACTTTTCCGAATAAGCGGAACTTTGCTTCATCGCTGAATATCAACTTGGAGGAGAAATCTTGGTCCTCCAATGCTTCTTATATGTTGACGCAGATATCTAGTCGACGTAATCCTCCGGCTTTAACTGTTGCAGGAGCTACGCGTGGTACGGTTTGAAATGCAACCGTTGACACAAAATCGATAGTAAAACAAATTCCAAATGCAAATTTGGGTTTTCCGATGCCCATATTCGCGGTAGGATTACGTCAATCAAAATTGGATGGCTCTAGATACCGTTGTTTTATCAACAATGCGGGAAACTTACATACATTTATGCAGATTCTTCGCTATTTAATTTCTTTAAATATAACACAGGGCGATAATATTTGTTGGAAACAATTTGAAAAGTGAACGACATTTATAGTGAATCAACGCGAAATGCCAAAATGAAATTAATAAAAAAGACAACTTATGACTTTATAGTAATATACAGTAGTTTATCCATGACTCTTTTTCATTTACTATGTTCTTACTGTAACCTCGTCATTGGGAAATTAAATGATTCCCATAAATTTTTCCTCTCGTTTTTCGAACGATAAAAATATTAAAAAGGAGGGGGGGAGGGAAAATACTGGAGTAAAAGGGTACAAAGCTAGTAAAAGCAGTTATGAGGAAAATTAAAGAGCAAATAAATTACCGTAGCTAGCTTATCCACTTCATCGTCTGACGCTCCAAGAGCAGCAAGACCAAGTTCTTGAGAGAATTGAGCAAAACTAGCATCAGCAAGAAGAGGTACATGTCCCAGGAGTTCATGACAGCAGTCCCTAGAGAAGGAAAAAATAAGAGTGTTAAGAGCAGCGTAATAAATCTAATCTCACCAAGCAAAAACCTCATTGATTCTAGTTACCAACATCTATTAAAATAGAAGATTTTATATATTTGTTTACATATATATATAAAATTACGGACATATTTGTTTACATTTGAAACAGCAGAATTGTAGATTTGTTGCCAATCTAGAGAGACTAAGCTTCGCAACACAAAAATAACGCCTTCATTTATTATTGCGAATTAAATCATGGCTTAATTCTCATGGAATTTTTTCGAGAGAAGCGTTAAGATTTACTTCGTAATTTTTAATACAGATATTTTGAGTTTATGTATTTTTCTTGTGCGAAGTGAAAACTGAATTAATGAATGAGAAATACTCAATCGTCTGTGAAAAACGTTTCTTTTTGTTTTTTTTGCTTACTTTTTTTATACGTCGTTCTAGCTTTATTATAGTATTTGAATGAAAATGTGCAACGATTAGATAATTCTTTAAATGACATAAATTTTGTGCATTCTGAGTTATAATATGAACGAAAATATAATATGTTAATTAACCTAGCGCCAAGTGTCGCTATGGTAAACAAAGTGAATTTTCAATGATTTATTCTATTGTTGTTTATGCGCTGTCGGCGAAGTAGGTTTAATTCAATACAATAAGTTAAATGAAATGCAAGAAAAAATGCGTATAATTTAATATTCCGTACAAGGAAATCATATGGTGTACACATCAGATTTTTTTAAATGGCTTTTGAATTAGGTCGTGTTTAATTTCATTTTATGCTTTTGTTCTCCACTCGCACACTATTTCTAGACTGGCATGACACATCTGGGAAAAGGGGGCGCGTTATATGGCGAATATACCTAAAAAGTAAAGGAATATAGAGAAGCTGTTGGCACACTTTTAGACAATTTTCATTGTAGTTACAGAAATACTTTACCTAAATTTTTTCTGTTTTAAATGTTCTATTTGATAATACTTATTCTTTCCTATCTTTCTACACCGTGATTTCCGAGACAATAAAGCCTTTTGTAGTATCGTAAGTGGTATTTTATTCTATTCTTCTTGAACAGCTTTCCAAAGTCCAAGGAGGATTGTTGGTCGACGTTTGGTCAGTCTCCTTTTTAAAAGTATAAAAGCACAAAACTCCATTATATGTAAACCAGCAACAATCATTAAGTCTTTTAAAAAAACTTTCTTTAGATTCTTTGAACCATTTTTTAAGTTTTTTTCTCTCCATTGATGATAATAAATGGATCTCTTTTTATTTAAATACAGTAAGACCCCGCTTAACGCGGGGGATACGTTCCATCGAAGTAGAGCGTAATGCGAAACAGCGCTAAGCGAGGCTATCTTAACATGTAAATAATGGGGTTAGGGGAAGACGGATAAAAAAATGGTTAGGCATTAAATTTAATAATGTTTTTTTAATAAAATAAAATCAAACATTTATTTCTTACAAAAATAAAAATATAAACGCATATACTTTTAAAAACAAATAAATTCTCAGTCAGATCATTCAGTCTATTCTGGGTTTCCAATTTTCTGCCTTTTTGTCGAGAAGGCATTATGATAGATGGCTTAATGGCATATTGCGTTCAATTTCGCGTCGTCAATCCATATAGACAGCTTTTTTTTTTTTCCATTCCTCTATAATGTTATTTATTTATTAATATAGAACGGGTAATTCTAGTTGCAGAGCTTCACGTAGTTGCAGTTGCCGATGACAGTATTTTTTCTTTATTCTTAAGATTCGTCCTTATTGTTGAAGTTGCCAAAATCAATGCAGCACTAATTTGAGATTGACGTTCACCATAATCTAATCTTCTAATCACTTGCATTTGAGTTTCCAGTGAAATGCTTTTTCTGGTTCCTTTCTTTTCTTGTTTTTTATTATCACCCATGATAAAAACTAAAGATCATAATATTTGTCACTGTATTATTAATCGTTATAGTATTATATATCAATTTACAATAATGTCAACAAATGTTGTTTTCAAATGATAAAAAGCAAGAAACACAACTACACTGTTTTCGGATATGTTATTTGGAAACCTAGCGCTGCGCACAATTTCGGAGAATCCCCGGGTTGAAATAAAAGAGCGCTAAACCGAAACAGCGCTAAACCGAAACAGCGCTAAACGAAACAGCGTTAAGCGGGGTCTTACTGTACATCCAAGATTCATCTGTTGTGTCATTATTTTTCTATTCCTGTTCGAATATGTGTTTCACATAAAGAGTTCTGCAGCGCGTTCTGCGTTCGCCGTTATGTCGTGGAGAAAAACGATGCACATTGTGTTTTTTAGCTTTTTTGAGATTCAAATCAGCATTAACCAACTTAGCATTTGCTTACAGTTCACACTGAGTATTTTAAGGATTTTTCAACTGTCCTCTGACTTTACGGATTTCCTTTAAATATTAAAAATATTACCTCTGTACCATTCGAGCGTTTTTTAATAACTAGATACGAATAATTTTCCTTGGAAAGCTCAGAAACATAGCCTTCCATCCATTCATTCTCTAAAAGCACCATTTTGCATAAAAACAAAACTGTAAAGTAGCAAACAATTATTTATAACCTCAAAAATATAGTTGCTGTTAAAAAAAGAGTTTCCAAGAAGACGATTTTTTTTAATAGCAAAGCAAAATCATCTAAAAAATGTGCGAACAGCCTGTGTGTGATAGTTTTAAGTAGAAAACTTCAAGTGATTAATTTATCGAATATATCACATAAGAAAAGTAAATTATCACGAGCATAGACGCGCAAAGTAAAAATTGAAAAACCTGATGTGTACACCACATGACTTCCTTGTACAGAATATTAAATTATACGCATTTTTTCTTGCATTTCGTTTAAACTTATTGGATTGAATTAAATATACTTCGCCGACAGCGCATAAACCACAATGGAATAAATGCATTCTTTAAAATTCACTCAGTATTTGCTTACCATAGCGACAATCTGGCGCTAGATTCACTTAACAGTATTATATTTCGTTCATATTATAACTCAGAATGCACAACATTTATATCATTTAAAGAATAGAATTATCTAATCGTTGCCACATGTTCTATTCAAGTACTATAATAAAGCTAGAACGATGTATAAAAGAAATTAAACAAACAAAACAAAAAAGAAACAGTTTTTCACAGACGATTGAGTATTTCTCATTCAATTCATTCAGTTCTCACTTCGCGATAAGGCAAAAATACATAAAAACTCAAAATATCTGTATTAAAAACTACGAAGTAAATCTTGTTTCCTCGAACAAATTCCAGAAAGGATTAAGAATGATTTAATTCGCAATAATAAATGAAGGCGTTATCTTTATTGTTGCGAAGCTACGTTTCTCTAGATTGGCAACAAATCCACTACTCTGCTGTTTCAAATGTAAACAAGCAATGGCCGCCATCAAAAAAATTATCAAGCTTAGCGGTACTTAAACAAATATAAAATTGTTGATAATTCTAAAAATATTGCATACAGCTTTACTAAAGACATAAAAACATTAACCGGAAGATTAGAACAAGATAATAATTTTTAAAGCAAAAAATGTACAATTTACAAACATATAAGAGTAAAGAAACTGAGATCACGGAGCCGGGTAACAGAGTGGATATATATATAAATATATTTATATACGTTTGCCGCGGCCGATTGCAACCGAAATACGAGGTGCACATCTACATGTTATAGCAGTCCTATATACAAAATTTAAACGCTCTGAGGCGTCACCATCGAGATAGATAAGGCCTGCGCGCTGAGTTACTACGTCACTGCTAGAGGACCGGTCTTCGCGCAGTTTAGCTTCCTTGTTAAACAATGAAATTGGTATCTCATACTATAAAATCAGTTTAAACAAAATTACAAGCGGCAATATAATGTTTTACAAAGCTTATACGAATATGAAATATTTTCATTTTCTTTTGTTGGTATTTATTATCAAAACAAAATTATTTGAGAATGGTGTGGTGCTTTTAAAGCAAATCATTTCTTTGAAGAAAAATTGGTTTTAAAATTCAAGTAGCTAAAATTTTTTACTTTGATTTTTCTGCACTGTCCTTGTGTCTCTCGTTGATTCTCATCACACCGCATCATCAAATTTTTTGTTTCACCCACTACTTAACAAAATGTTTGCCAGTGGGAACCATGTATCTCTCATTCTATAATTATTGCATATTTTTTATATCTATCATATTAATGTAGCAAGATTATAAACATCAAACGAATGCAAGAGACTACTTAATATTTAGACTAACATTTAAATGCCCTATATCAGTCAGAAAAATTTTCTGAATGTAATAAATTACTAAATAGTCTAGTCTTAAAATTATTTCTTACTTTACTATTGTATGTTAATCAGATTACAGTTAATGTTTTCCTCTTAATGCTACATAATTATTCGACAGAATCTGTAGTTAAATTGAGATAATGTTTATTACATAGCTCTGAAGACTATCAATATTAAAATTCCAAATAACAGGAAAAAGTTTTTTAAATAAAGTTATACAAAATTTTTTTGAAAAATATTTTTAAAATATACAAAATACTTAAAAAAACTTTTAGAAACTGAAATTTCTTGCAAATATTTACATCATACCTATTTAACTATAAGCGTTACCTCTTGTTCTGAAAATATTTTTTCTATTAATATCCACATGAAAAGAAAATATAAATCCTAACATCATGTTCAAAACTTTTCTGTATAATGTAAGCAATTTTTTAACTTAACTAACATAGCTTTTGGTGGTGCCACGTACTAAAATTAAAGATTGTAATTTAAAAGATAATTAAAAAAATTGCATTGAATTGAAATACAATGAAAACAAGTATGTCTACATATGAATTCAATTACTACTGCTTCTTCAATAACTGTACATTTTTAAAATTTCATTTTGCAGTTTCGCAATTTAATTACCTTAATATGAATCTTACATACATTACTTCAGAAACTTTTCTGTCATTCTCAGAAAGATTTATATTGCATAACAAATTTTAAACAAACTGATTGCATGATAATAACATATATAAAAGTGAACAGAAGCTATATTAGCTAAACATATGCATTTAAGTTTCATCATGATAAAATGATATTTTAACGATTTTCAAAAAACATTGATATTTAAATTTAAGAACACAGTACTCTGTCAAGAATCAAATTTACTCTTCATTTGATATTCTACATATTATGTAATGAAATAAGTGTAATGCTTTTAACCCTTTAGGACAGTTATTTCATATAAAATTCGTTTCCAATTAAAATAAATAATCATAAATTTTGCTGACAATTTTTATATTACTAGTGTTAGTAATTATTACAAGGGATGATGCTTCAGATGTCAAAAGTAAACATAAATTCAATTCTTAAAACATAATGAATAAAAAATTACAACTTATAAAAGCCAACAAAAAGTTTGCTGAGGGTCCCTTAACCGTGACGTCACAAGCCAGTTTCGTTTCAGTGCGCAGGCCTTATCTACGTATCTCGTATCTCGATGGTGACGTCTGAGGCTACTCGTTTTTGAGTTATGCGTGATACGTACGTACTACATACGTTCGTACAGACGCCACGAAAAATTCTCTTCAGAATTCATTTTAAAGCGGTTTTATAATTTTTTTGGAGGAAAAGAGTCTTTTATTCTGTCCTTACGTACAGATATCACGCAAAACATCGTTAATTTGCATTCGAAAGCGGTCAAAATGGATATTTTCGTTGAAATATGCTGCCTGAAACTTTTCGCCATTACAATACTTCCTTTTTACTTCGTACAAGAAAGTAAAAAAGAATCACAAAAATAAATAAATAAATAAGAAATTATTAATCTGCCAAAAAAAGTGAATAATAAATCCAATTAAAAAAAATTCGAATTAAAGTTTAAATAAAATTATTATTACGAACAGCTATTAAATTTGTCGGCTGGCTTATTCAATTTCTTTATATAATAATAATTTTACACGGCAATTTTTTAGCATAAATATCATTATTCTGATTTATAAGTAATTATTTTATCAATAATAATATAAAAATTGTATCAATTAATAACAAAAATATTGACGAATTTATTTTTAACTTTAGTTCTGACAACAAAAATAATCGGTAATTTGTTGCTGGCGTGATGCACATTGCAAGAAAATTTTATCCGTGGTGGGAACGAGAAGATTCAATAACCTTTGTAAAGAATGTCTCAAGTCTTGCAAAAAATATGGAAAACTCGCAAGACATAACTTGGACAGCATTTCTACTTAAGCAAAATACACCTTTAAGAATCAAAATTTTTTTCACAAAATGATGAACCAACTGTATACCCTGAAGCTCAGATGATTCACTGCTTCCTCTTTTCCTGAAGGCAAAAATTTCAAAATTTTAATCATAGCCTCAGACTTCAGTTGAGCTCTGTCTGACAGTTAAGAACCTGAATGGAATTAGAGGACCTATTCCTGACCATTGGCTCAATGATCACTAACACCATATGGTGTTCTAAGATATGCTTATCGAGTTCTCTTTCTCATAGAATTGGATCCACACTTATCTTACAGAGTCTTTGTTTAGAATACACAGGAAAGTGAAGATGAAGCTAATAGAAAAGTAAAGTGTTTTTCTTTAAGGATGGAATGTTCCAAAAGTGGAGGATTTTAAGGGTTAGTAAACCTTTCGTTTACACTAGCAGAAATTCTAGAAAAATATAAAAACACAAAAATGATCCAATTGAATACGTCCATAAAGTTCTTTTTATATACGATTTTTCAAAACTCTGGAGGTTCACTGTAGCAGTATAAAATGACATGAAGATTATGGGAAACTGAGCGGAATCAAAAGGTTCGTTCGTTGTATCTGTGGTTTGTTATAAGCCAGGTTAAATGGGTTCGACTGCACATATACACACATATACTTATAGGAGAAATTTTCAGTAATTCATTCTACTTACGGTTCCGGTGTATAGAAAGGATCAGAACTGTGACGTATATACTGAGTGCAGTGAAAAACACGAAAAGCCAGTCCCGCTAGAAAATCTCGAGATGACAGGTATCCAGCAACAGGCCGCAGTTGGAATCCAGTCCTCTCTGTAAGAAATTATTTAAGATCAATCAAGCGCATTGTTACGAATTTTATACATTGATGGATGATTTTAGTGAAACTGTAGGGTTTTTCTTATTTTGCATAGCAAATTTAAGTTTGAGACCTATTCTAGACTTCTCAACTTCCCCTCACATTCTCTCGCCAGGATGTAAATTCAAAATTACGTGAAATGCTTATTTAAACGGGTGATTCTCTCAGTTTATTATCAGATTTAGGCCGGTTAGGTTCCGTCCACCTCTTAGGCGTAACTTAGTGCTATCTTGCGCTATTCATTTTAGGTTTGACTTACAGTATATTCTACGTTTAGTTTCCACCGCAAGTTGACGGTGCTTTTGTAATGCACGAAGACCGTGCATTACAAAAAAACTGTTAAACTCTTTTGAATTAATAAAGGGTTATTTTTACCCTTCGTTTGAGTCGGTAGTTTTATTCCCGCCTGTGCGAGAATTCACCAGGTCATTATAGGGTCTATTTTAGTTTATATGGAACAAGAGAGAAAGTTTCTATAGGAGGTGGACTCACAGGAACCTAACCGGTGTGAAACTAAATCTGATAAGGCCGAGAGGCTTACTAGCGTAACAGCAAAGTAACATTGAAACGTTAGCGAAACACGCTCTGAGTAAACTGAGAGAATCACCCGTTTAACCCTTTGCGGCATAGTGTGTCCGGTCTGGACACACCTAAAACTTTCCTTCAGTACGCACAGAAAAATTGAATGAAAAAGGATTTATAGGTTACTGTAGGTTACTCTGAATCTTCTTTATTTATAGTAGATGGCAACTCAACACAAACCAATCCATATATTTTAGCCATGTTTAGTTTTTTAAGACCCTCATTTTTCAAAGAAATCTTCCAGATTTTTTTAGGGTATAAAAGGAATTGTTTGAAAAGAAATTTCTATGTTATTTTTTTGGCTGTATGATAATCTCCTTATTCTATATTAGTTTTAAATTTTTACCTTGAAATGTTGCCTAAAATCAAAGGGCGAACCCTAGGTGTGCCCAGACCGGGCTCACCGATAATCTAGGACAACTGAGAGTCTGTATTCTTTTTTTCTCCGCATCTCATCGGTCAGTTCATTGACAACAAGGCTTGTTTCAGCACTCTTTTCGAAGCTCTATTCAATCAGGGTGCCACTTTGGGCACACCCACAAAAATAAACAATAAGTGCTATCTTCACAAAATTTTATTTGTGTACTGAATAAAAGTAGGCCTAATTAGACTGCCTACCTTTTTCTTTTTATATTAAAACTCCGACTTTAAAAAGGTAGCGTGCCGGAAAGGGTTAAATAAGCACTTAACTTTAAATTTACATCCTGGCGAGAGAATGTAAGGAGAAGTTGAGAAGTCTAGAAAATGTATCAAATAAATTTTTTATGCAAAATAAGGAAAACCCGACAAAACTGTATGTGAAATTACTGTATTTTTCTGTATAATGTAACGTAGAAGAGAGGGAGAAAATACCTTAATACGGTATCCATTTTTCTTTCTTCCTCAACAACCCATTTTTGCAAAATATGACCATTACTGTCTATACCACGTTCGTTATATCTGCATTTATCAGTATAAAAAAGTCAGAATCAGAATCTGGCGATGTAATTCTATTTTTATTTTAGTTTCTGAAAAAATATCGGCTGTTCCTCTTCCCTGTTACCTGAATTTTTGTTAAGTCTCGTAACTCCTTTTTTCTTCACTGCAGTATCGTTCACTAATAAATAACTCTTCCATTTTTCTTTTTGACATTCTAAAAAATTAGAGGAACAGTTTTAACGCAAAAAAATTAACCATTCATCACTACAGAAAAAATATTTGGTAAAGAAAATATAATTTCCGAACGTTGTCTTTAGGTACTTCGTTCTTGAAGAAAGATTTTCAACTGAACTCATGCCCCGAAACCTTTGGTTTTAGAAGTTCTGAGATCCTACAGAGGTTGTTCGGCTATTTTTTAAACGATTTTGCTTTGCTATAAAAAATTGTATGCTTGGAAATTAAGTGCAACTATACTTTTTGAAAGTGTAAATTATCGTCTGCTATTTAGCAGTTTTCTTTCCATGCAAAATGGCGCTTTCAAAAAAGCTTTTGATGGAAGACTAAGTGTGTGCTCTTTTCGAAGACAACAATTCGTACCTAGTTATTTAAAAAGTTTCAAGTGGAAAAATTATTCCAAATACATATCCAAGGAACATTTATCCGGACAAAAACGAAAAGGGTTGGCACAATAGATGAATCTTGGGTGTATTTTAATGACTGCAATAAAAAGGGATCCATTTATCGTTATTAAAGAGGAGAAAAAATATCTTAAAAAATATAGTAGCTTAAAGATTCCAAAGAAGGTTTTCAAAGGGATTTGTAATTGTTTCAAAGTAAAGAAAGCGGAGAAAAATGTTAAGATCAATTCAATATATTATCAGAAACATATTTTATACCCAATTTTCAAATATGAAATAACTTCTCTTCGCCCATAGAACCATTAATCAATATAATTGCATTAAGATAAAGCAAGCAGACGTATATCGAAATCCACTGTTGACTTCCCGGAAAAAGTAGAGCAATGTATGGGTATTAAGGTCATAGCTTTCATTCATATACCTACAAAATCTAATCCCTACTAAAGCGTGGATTTTTGCGCTTTTGGGTTTCTTAAAAAGCGTGTTGTCCAAAAGTTGATTGACAAACGTCCTTTCAAAAAGAGGATCGAACAAAAAGGGACTTGGGGAAGCTATTCGAGAGGAATGGGATACTTTTTCTGTTACTAAAAAAGGCATTTTTGGCTTCGAAATTATGGCGTAGAAAGATAGTGAATAATTAGAGTTTTCAAATCGTCAAAAAAAATCGTCTAAATCGTCAATGAAAATCGTCTAAAAAATGTGCAAACAGTCACTGTATATCAGAAACAACTCTCGGCAGCACTCGTGGCCTAACGGAGATTTTTTTAACTCGTGTGGCAATTAACATGTTAATAGATGAGAAAGACGATGTCATTATTACATTTCTAAGAACAGCAGTGATATTCCAAACACACGCAAACGTTTGCGTTGTTTATTGACAAAAAATGAAATTGAATAGCATCTTGTTACGTATAAAACTTTAAAAAAAAAAAAAAAAAAAAAAAAAAAAAAAAACTTTTTTGTTCTTGGTTTAGGGTTCATAAAGGATTTTTATTCATTTCGAATGCAATTTATTTTAATATATTTTCATGAAGTAAAACAATAAGCGTAAAACAAATATTTATAGATTAATTTTTTTTTTTTTTTTTTTAAATCTGTAATCTTTATTTTTTAGTCCAAAGGGGCTTTGCACCTGAGGGACTATTGCTTTCGTTTTGCGAATTTGCGTCGAATCACTCTGAATGTCAGGTTTCACTTTTCAGACTGTTGCCACCCAATATTATCGCCCTGTATTATATTTGAAGAAATTAAATAATGAATAATCTGCATAAATATATGTATGTTTCTCGCATTGTGATAAAACAACGGTACCTAGAGTCATCCAATTGTGAATGACGTCATCCTACCGCGAATATGGGCATCTAAAAGCCCAAATTTGAAATTTGGAATTTGTTTTACTATCGGTTTCATATTTTGTAAAACTTTAACGAATTTTTCATGAACAAACTCAAGAATTTCAAAGCGAGTAATGGCAACGTTGTACAGAAAAAACATTTTCATGTCCAATGCGTGAGACTGTGTATCGGAAATTCTAACGATATGCTCAATTTAAAATCATTTTGCGATATTGCTCTTGAACGGAATTTTATGGTTTAAGTGCGAAGAACATGATATTTAATAAATAAAGGTAACACAAAAAATGTTTCAAAAAACGCCCCTTTGTACGTAATTTAAAATCTAAAACTTTTCAGACTTTTATATATATGATGTACCCAGCTTTTGTCCAGAATAAAAGATTGGTGAAGAATCATAAATGTATTCGTAGCTTGAATTATCAGACGATAAGTTTAAAAAACAAGGATCCATTTATTATTATTCAGGAGAAATAGCAGTTACGAAATCAGATATCCGGAATAAATAAAAAGAATTACTAATAATTTTTTGTATGAAGTTTACTGCATCGTGACATTTAAGAAAAGACCCCGATATTCTTTTGCGAGTCCTTTTATAGCCTCTGGAAAGGCGGAGCTTCCAAGAAATGACGTCAGCCAATCCAGTTCGCTTTAAATATTTCCAGACATTCTAAAACTGTACGTGTAAAAAAGGCGGGAAAAATAACTTGACTACGGGGCTGTGGATTTAATTCCACGTACTTTAAATAAGAGAACGTCGCCGTTAAAAATGAAAAGAACATACAGTTAGAACTTTAAGTGTATTCTTGACTATGGAATTTTATTATTACACACATATATATATATCTTGCAGGAACGTATGTACCACGTGAAAAAAATATTAGGTGTAAAGATCACTTTCAGGCGAGGTCACGTCGGGTAGATTTTCGCCAGGAGAGGGTTCATTGTATTTTCTGTTTAATAACATTTTAGACTATACTTACGTTTCAAGAAACGACTGACGTCCTCCAGCTGCGGGATATTATCATGTCTACAAGGGAGAGGGAAAAATTAGACATAAATTAAAGTTTAATTTACAAACATATACTAATGTGTAACGAAAACAAAATCTTTTTTTTAACTTACCGGTAACCGCAAAATTTAATTAAGAGGTTGAAGTTCTCCAAAAATTCTTTACAAGCGTGTGTCGGATAAAGTTTCTTCAAATGAGTAAAAACTGTACCCCTGAAATACAGAATAATAAGCGATAAAAAAATTGAAACGTGACCGTAACTGTATTCGACGAAAACATGAGGCCAAAGCAATTTAATTTTTTTTTTCATATTTTTTATCTTAGTTTAAACAATTTTTTTTTTGTACCTCAGTAGGTTTTTTTTTTTTTTTTTTTTTGCTAAAATCAGATAAACTGAATCTTGTAACCGCTCTTGATACTATAAATTATATATGGTGGACTCATTCTAGCAACGAGAGTGAGGTACCCACTGGTGAGAAGCCAGGAAAACTTAAGTAAAGACCAGCTGATGAACCTGTTAGGTTGTATCAGAGCCCATACTTTGTAAAATCTTAAAATTATATGTTGTGTTGAAACAATTATACGTTAAGTAAATGGTTATTTTATGTTTCGAATCTCTACTGGCACTCTCATTTTCAGTTTCCAGACCAGAATGCAAATTTAGCTCGCGTGTATTTAAATGAGGGTTTGCGATGGTTTTAATCAGAGCGTGTTCCGCTTGCTGAAAGCCTCGTTACTAGTTGATATTCTATAGCGTTCCTGTCTGCGATGTACGCACTTCATACGTTATGTTTCTTATCTAGACATTGCGATGGGTTGCTTAGCTCTCTATATAGAGTCTTAACTTAGTGTAAGTTACCAAAACAAGTGGGAATGTGAAAGGAAAACAACTTTACATCATTTTTTATTATCTTCACCCCTACTTTTCTCTGTTTTCTAAGCAAAGGGTCTGCGAGACAGGTATGATACTCAACTCTACGAGAACGAGAATATAATAAGCTCATCTTAGGACGTCATATGTTGTACATGTCCATTGAACCAAAAAACGTGCATGGAGTCGCTGATTCCATTCAAGTTCTTTGACTGAGCTCTCAAATAAAACTCTATTTAAAGCTGATGCTATATGATGGAGATTTCGAAATTTTCGCCATACAGGGAAAGAGAAATTACTGAATCTTATGAGCTTGTGGTTTTACAATTGATTCTTTTAGGGAATGAACATTTTTTATTCTTATTAGGTTGTTTTGTATGATGGTTTATGCTCTCCGAGTTCTAACCTCCGAACAGAGATTTAACACTCTAAAGAATTCTTTTGCAAGACATATTTTTATATAGCGTTTCTAAACTTTGCTTTGCAACCATACATATCTCGAGGAAAATGATCGTACTGTCACTGGGTGTTAGATAAGACAGAATTACATTTCTTTATCATCATTTTCCAAAAGAGGAAAGCTGTGGCATATTCTTTGAGCTAACTTTTTACGCCCTGCTTCTCTGTCAGGAATTCATCCGTACGGTGAGCCATAAGCGTAAAGGTTCTGCATTGAAGATAAGGTGAGCATTATTTTATAAACGCTGAATGGATGCAACCAAATAGATATGTGTCAGAAGAAATCTAGTTTATCCAAACCCACCAGATGATACTGCAGAGTTTCGCTTATTTTTCATAACAAATCATTTCAGTTTTCGTACCTTTCCTCAACGTCTCATTTACCCTTCGCGTTTCCTCGCCAGGATGCAAATTTAAAATTAAGTGAAGTGAGTATAAAGTCAGACGAATCTTGTAGTTTACTCAGAGCGTGATTTCGCTAGCCAGCGTACGCTACTAGTTTGTTTTTGCTGTTACGCTGAGTTTCTGATACTCCTTTTGGCCACTTAATAAGTATATCGCGTGGTAGCACTACTCTTTATTTTTGAAATTATTGTGTAACTATATTTAAATTTCACCGCAAGTCGTCGGTGCTATTGTAAGCACGAAGTGAGTGCATTTGTGTTAAGAGTTTGACGAATAATGAAGGGTTATTTTACCCTTTTTCTGTGCTGGTATTTTTTATGCCTGTGCGAGAAGTCGCTATGTTGTCTCGTAAGATCATTTTAACTTTATGATAGCAAACATAGTCAGCTGTTACAGGTACCATATGTAAAAATCGAAACTCTGTAACTTCTGCTCATGGGAAATGTCTCGATACGAGGAAAACGTTGAAAAATGTAGAGCTTAGGTACATTGAAGAAGAGCTTAGAGAGCTTAAATATGTTGCTGAAATAGTTCGCCATTCAGAGAATATTTGGCTTAATGTGCTGCAGACCAAAGGAAATAACGAATTTGTCTTCGGAGAGACTAGAAAAGAATGAAAAAGCAAGTTTAATAACCAGCAATTAAATCGTGGTTGGATATTTTTAAAATTTGATTTACATTGCTGGCCATTAAAACTGCAACACCCATGAAGGAAAGCAAAAACAAAAAAGATATTTGTTGTACATAAACAGTGACATATGAAGACAAAATGATTAAATTTGTAAGCAGTTTGGGGGTTTACAGGGGTTCGAAAATAGTAGAAACAGATGTTGCCCCTGGCAGCTAAAAAGGCTTTTACTTGGTTAGGCATGGAGTCGAACTAGGCTTGCATGACAGAAACTCACAACTCTTTCCATGTTGCTTCAAGTCTATGCCACATTTCATGAACTGTATTAACTGGAGAAGGGTGGCGGGCCAGTCTATCAGCAACCCATGGCCATATGTTTTCAATGAGGACAAAACTGGAGACCGTGCAGGCCAGGGCAGCAATCGAATACCCTGTGTATCGAGGAAGATCGGAACACGACGTGCAACATGTAGTCTTACATTATCTTGCTGGAACATGGCGATTGGGAGGCCTCGGAGATAAGGCACAACCACTGGGCGTAAAATATCAGAATGTACCAATCCGCGTTCAAATTAATGTACCATCGATCCGAACTAGAGATGTGCGTGTCGTGTACCCAATGGCTGCCCAAACTATCACACCAAGTGCAGGGCCCTTATGCCGATATCGAATGCAAGCAGTCGACATGTGGTCTCCTCGGAGCATCCAGACATGTATACGGCTATCAGAATACTGCACGCAGAACCGGGTATCGTCTGAAAAAACGAAATTGTGCCAGTTCTATATCCAGCTTTGTCGTTCGGCACACCACAGTCGGAATCTCGCTCTATGTTGCATTGTAAAGGGAAGCCGAAGTAACGCTCGCCGTTCTGATGTTCCACGCTGCTACAAACTTCGACGCACCATACGAGCGGATACTGGGCGTGCTGCAAACATGCCCATTCCCTGACTAATGGTCCGTGATGTGGTTGTATGGTTTTGCAGGTCTGACCTAGCAATATGTCTGTCCTCTCGTGCGTTAGTTATGGGAGGATTTTGAGATCCTGCATGCCGTTCAATATGGCCCTCAGCAACCCATTGATCCATATTCGCATGGCAATTGTTGGATGTCGACTAGATCGACGGGCGATATCAGGGAACGATAATCGACACTCGATAGGCAACGATCCTGCCTCTATCGCATTCCGACACTTGCTGGTAAGCCTTTCTTCTTATTATTCGAGGCATATCACGATATTCTGTGCAAATCCCAAAAACGAAAAGCTCTTTCCGAATGAGAAATCCACTACACAATTTTTCGTTTATCCAGTGCATCAGATGTCGTTTCTTCCTCCTTCGCCGTCTAAATGCGCTTTGAAATGCTAATCATTTACATATCCCAACCTCTTCTTCCTTTCATGTAATTTTGACGTTCGTCAGATCATTCCCTCCTGATGTTGCAATTTTAATGGCCAGCTATGTACACATTATTCAGTATCGTTTGGTAGATGTAACAATATTTTTTAATCAGTCTGGTTTCTTTATTCATCATTCACTTTTTTTACACATTATTTGTGAGATAATACATTTGTCTCATCGGATTTTATATAACGAAACACCGGATGTAGAAGGAAACTTCGGGTTCCTTGAAGTTTGTTATGGCGAGGTTTGACTGTAATCAAAATGAATGGCAAATAACTGTATGAAATGATCATATACATCAGTTGTATAATCCAAATTCATAACACTTACCAATTCCTATATCCCCGAATAGCAAAAATTTCTATCATAGTTTCAACCTTGAATTCAGCTCTGTATGATAACTCAGTCAAAGAGTTTGAACAGAATCAGACAACTTATCTGTGCTCTTTGGTTCAATGGTCACATTTGCCATATACAAAAAACGCCATAGGGTGTCCCAAGATTTGCTTATTGTGTCTTTGTTCTCCAGGTGTCACACCCTGGAAAAATGGAAAGACTCCAATTGCGCGAAAGACTACACGCAACTGTAGTCCTCCTTTCGAACACAGAGAAAAGGGGGATTGAACTTAAAGATATGTATAGGTTATACGGTACTTTTTCCCCTCCTTTTCCGCATGCCTTCGTGGTGTAACGGTAGAGCACTCTGCGCGTATTCGAAAGGTCCAGGTTCGAGTTCCGGCGAGGCCACTGCTCACTTTTCATGAATTCCTGCTTCAAAATAGTCTAATGCCTGTACATGGAGTTTTCCGTTACGGGCGGAATGTAGATCCTAACATCCTAAACGCGGAGGATTTTAAATGGTAGTAATTTTTGTGTTAAAACTTCTAAAAAAAGTACTGAAACTACAAAACAGTTTCCAAATAAGATATCAATATGGCTTTTCGAATCCGAGTTTCATACCGTTGCTATCCAATTCATGGCTTCACGACAGCAGTATAAAAGAGCTTGAAGTGCATAAGAAATTGGATGGCCGAGGTTTTTTTCGAAGCCGAAAGTCTTGTTCGTTATAAGGGGAGTTTAGTTAAAAGCTAAGTTCGTTTTAACGGTGTTCGTTATATCCGATTTTATACTTTTGAAAATTCTCTATAGCAGTATACTTCATACTGCTATAGAGAATTTAAATGTTTAGGAAATAAGACGGGACCAAAAGGCTTGTACGTTATATCCAGGAGTTCGTTATAACGGGGTTCTATTGGAATCATATTAAACGGCAAATAACACAGAAAAGGCTCTTACCATGTTTTTATCTCCTCTGGCGTGTACTGCACATATGGAATAGGCTGCCCACTGTAAAAAACGGATCATTTTTAAATTAAAGCATAAATTGTTTTATAGTGTTTAAGCCCCAGATTTGAAGTATGACAGAAATGCTTTCTTTAAAAAAGAAAAAAAAGAAAAAAAGAAAAAACAACTCACTGTTTGTAAGAGAGGGCAATATCAGTGAAATGCTTGCGTCTCTGTCGATAAGTATTATCCTTAAAACCCTGAAAAGAACAAATAAATTATATTAGTTATTTATTACGTCCCCCCCCCTTAAATTATATAGTATACATTGGTAACGGAGGTAATGTTTCTGATCCAAAATTTAGATAGCGTGTTTTCAATGAAGAAGCACGAAACAGAGTCCCCGCAATACGTCTCGACTATTTTTACAATGATATCTGTGTGTGAGATTTTTTTCCTCCGTAATAACTCTTCCAAAATTTCCTTATTTCCGTACTACTACCATATATATTTCCGTATATGCTTTTTGCATTCCTATAAAAAATTGATTAGATTTTGGGTAACATAAAGTGTCATTCCTGTTGTTACGAAATGCCCAGCTGCAGGGTTGCCAGATTTAGCACGAAATCGCTTCCTTTGGCGTCAAAATTAGCGATATGCCACAGACGGAGCGAGAACATTCTAGAACGAATTCTTACCGGTTTTCCCGAGAATGTTCTCGAAGGCTATATATACGCTTCCTGTACGCGGAGTATCTAGTGTATCGTGAGCGTATCAGTAGTGTATTGAGTTCAGTAGTAATGTCTTGAGTTCAGAGATTAGGTCGAGAGCGATCGATCGAGGCGGAAGCTGCACTTTAGGTGCTTGGCCGTGAAACTGTCTTCGCCGTTGTGGCCTGAAGGTTGTGTTGCTGATTATTTCAGCGTGTTTATCGTAGGTTTTCGACGGCTGTAAACATGTCTTTAGAACTGTTCTGTGTAATGCTGACGAATAAATTGTGTTTTGATTCTTCATCAGGTGTTGTCATCAATCCCTCCAAATCCACGAACCCGTAGAGCGCAACATTATAAAGATTTGATTAGATTTTTAAAACCCTTTGCGGCACAGTGTGTCCGGTCTGGACACACCTAAAAATTTCCTTCTGTACGCACAGAAAAATTGAATGAACCTTCTTTATTTATAGTAGATGGCAGCTCACCAACAAACCGGTCCATATATTTTAGCCATGTTTAGTTTTTTAAGACCCTCATTTTTCAAAGAAATCTTCCAGATTTGTTTTAGGGCATAAAAGGAATTGTTTGAAAAGGAATTTCTATGTTATTTTATTCTATATTAGTTTTAAATTTTTACCTTGAAATCTTGCCTAAAATCAAACAGTGAACCCTAGGTGTGCCCAGACCGGGCTCACCGATCAGCTAGGACAACTGAGAGTCTGTATTATTTGTTTCTCCGCATCTCATCGGTCAGTTCATTGACAAAAATGCTCGTTTCAGCACTCTTTTTGAAGTTCTATTCAATCAGTGGGCCCACTTTGGGCACACCCACAGAATTAAAACGATAAGTGCTATCTTCAGAAACTTTTACTTGTGTACTCCTCTAGGCCTAAGCCTACTTTTTTTTTTTTTTTTTTTTTTAAATCAAAACTCGAAAAAGAAACTTTTTTTTATCGAACTTTAAAAGGTAGCGTGCCGGAAAGGGTTAACAGACAACCGAAGTCGAGTCTGTTGGTTTGGTGTCACTTTATTTGGAAGATAAAGGGCAGAGTGATAAGCCACCTGAGTGCTTCCTGAGCCAGAGTTTAACATTTGAAATGGTTAGATTCCATAAAATATTAAAATAAAAAAAAACATAATTTTTGATTTCATGTAAGATTACTTACTGGGTGATCAGCATCGAGTTCGGCTCCATACATCAAGACTCTATTGGCGGACTTATCCAAATCTGACATTTTCCTAGGAAACCATGGCATCCCGTCAAAAGCTGAAATCAGAAAAATAATAATTACTGAACTTGAAGGTAATATCTTTCATCTGAAGGAAAAAAAAAAGAATTCCTGTTCAAACTCATGTTTTTTTTTCAATTGAGAATCGCTACGAAAGATTTTCTGTTAAATTGATATTTTCAACTATTATATTTGATTGGCTTCTGAAGCAATTATACGCAACTCGCAAATTAATTTCAATTAGATAATTGTTCTAAACGTCACGCGAGTAACACGCGCTTTATACTAAATGTTGGAAACGTTTCTAAAAGTAGTGTTGTTCGTTGAAATGAACATCTTAAAACACGCCTGTAAAACGCACCACTTGAGCACGTCATGTAGAACGTACTTCATAGCAAATGCTGGGAATGTTTCGAAAATGGCAATGTTGTACTTTGAAATGTGCGTCCTAAGAACACGGCTGTAACATGTACCACTTTAAGAGTGCCGTGTAGAAGGGAATCTATAGCACTTGCTAAGAACGCTTCAAAAAGTGCCACTGTTGTACGTTGGAAATGTACACTGCGCGGGGGGGGGAAGAGAGAGAGAGGAGACAGTTCTATATTTCCCGTTCTACTTGGCCGACTGACGAAATTCAACTTGCGTTTTTCATGTCCCGAAAGCGCGACTTAGGATATATATTATATTCATGTATAGCGTTGTTCTAATATAGGTATTTTCACACAAAATCGGACTTTTTCTGAAATAATTCTAGAGTTCATCGTGGTAGGTTTGTACTTAGAAAAAGCTCTTTTCCAGAGACCAAAGGCACATCCATCGGTGAAACATAAGGTAGGCATACCTTGAAGAGGTATACATGCAACACCTGTATACCAGTCTTCATTTTTTCAAGGAATGCAGAGATATGTCTCGAACTATGATGTAGTGTTCCTCACTTTTATTCTGCTAAATTAAATGTTGAGGAATCTAGTGAACAGTTAACGAAGTATCGCTTAGTTCAAAGAACAGAAATCGCAAACTCAAGAAGGGTTATTGTTGTCTTGTACGAGGAGTCAGTGCAGAGAAGTCAAATAGGACCGAAAGTATCCAGAACAGCCACAGTAACATCAATAATCTTCGAAGAATAGAGGAGTTGGTGCGAGGGAGCCATATCTATACTGAGGAGCTTGGCCAAACTAGAAGGACAGTCGAAGAGATGGTCTGGAGGAAGTTGGATATCAGTACAGTGAGGACAGCTATTGTAATTACGCTGGCCATCAGGAGATATCTTTATTCCTTTAAAGTGTTTTGTCCTCAGTCTGGCTATGGTAGTGAAAATGGCACGGTTACAATTTAGGGCAGGAATGGAGTTCTTTTTGATGAATAAGTTTTCGGCTGGCTATTGCGTCAGCATAATCAAGAAGGGTTAATTACCCTTTATTCACTCAAAATAAGATTAACAGTCGGCCCTATTTTGGGGCTTACAAGAAATCCTCCACTCGGGCTTAAACTCAAAAAATGGAAATAAGAATTAACTCTAAGTAACTAAGAGATTTAGCCGAAGCTAACGCAATTCTAACGTAGTTGACCCATAATCTAAACTAGCCGCGAACTATCAAAAGGCCCGTCATAATACGGCCGAGCGTAACAGCTAGGGATTGCGATATCGGACCAAAAGTGCAATGCCGGTATTCGGTATTTTTTAGATCTTAATACCGGAATACCGGTTTTAATAACGGTAGTATGAATTTTTGAAAAAGTAAGAAAACACAGGTGCTTTTTTTGTTTTATTTGCCAGTTTTATTAGAGAGAGTAAATATCACAAAAAATCATTTGTAGCTTATAAATTATAACAGTATATAAAAATCTGATGTGTACACCACATGACTTCCTTGTACGGAATATTAAATTTACGCATTTTTCTTGCATTTTATTTAAAATTATTAGATTGAATTAAACTACTTCGCGAAGCGCCTAAACCACAATAGAATAAATGCATTCTTTAAAGTTCATTTCGTTACCATAGTGACACTTGGCGCATTTTAGACAGTATTATTTCATTCATATTATAACAGAATGCCACAGAATGTAATCATTTAAAGAATTATCTCGTAGCCACAATTCTATTCAAATGCTATAATAAAGCTAGAACTGTATAAAAGAAATAAGCAATAAACAAAAAAGAAACAGTTTTTTCCAGACGATAGGGTAGTTCTCAATTAAATAATTCAGTTCTTATTCGCGAGAAGGCAAAAATAATAAAAACTCAAAATCTATATTCAAAATTACGAAGAATTTCAAAACGCTTATTTCCTCGGAAAAATTCCAGAAAGAATTAGCATGATTTAATTGGCAATAATAAATCATGCGTTATCTTGTAGTTGCGAAGCTAAGTTTCTCTAGATGGCCAACAAATCCACTAGTCTCCTGTTTCAAATGTAACATCAATGGCCGTCATAAAAAAAGCTTAGTGGCATAAACAACTTAAAATTGCTGATATTCAAAAATATGGCACACAGATTTATAAAGGCATAAAATCCTTAACGGAAGATAAAAAACAATAATTCAATCATTTTTAAAAAAAAAATGTATAATTTACAACATATAAGGTAAAGAAACTGAGATCATGAGCGGGATACAGAGGGATAATATATAAATTATTATATACGTTGGTCGGCCGATTCACCAAATACGAGGGCATCTTAATGTTATAGCAGTCCTATATACAAAATTTCAACGTTTGAGGCTACTCGTTTTGAGTTATGAGAGATACGGCGTACGCAGTACTAAACGTTCGACAGACGCCACGAAAATCTCTCAGAATTATTTTTAAGCAGTTTTATAATTTTTTTGAAGGAAAAGAGTATTTTATTCTGTCCTTACGTACAGATATCACCCAAAAACATCGTTGAATTGCATCCGATAGCGGTCAAAATAGATATTTTCGTTGAAATACGCTGCCTGAAACTTTTCGCGAACATCTTATGTATTTAAATCACAAAAAAGTGTAAATATTACTATTCAGTCCGTGGTACTATTACACATTTTTGAAATGTGATCTTAACATAATGCATCAATTGCACTGTCATCGAACCTGGAACGTAATTTTGTGCAAAAATTCCCAGCTTTAGAAAACGCTCTTTCAGCATTTACGCTAGTTGGTGGTACTGCTAGCAAAGCGCGATATAGTTTTTCCAAGTATTTACCTCTAAATCCCTCATCTTCAAGTAAATCGATTTCTCGTCGGATGGTTTTGGATCTAACTGATTTCTGTATTGTATTATATTTGTTGAAATTTTTTTAGTTATCGCTCATTCTAATTTTTGTTCAAGAGACAATTCCTTTTCACTATCGATATCGACGTTAAAGTCATCATCATCTTCGATAACTGCACCGGATTTTTCTAAATGAGGATAGGTTTGCGGGTAAAAAATTTTAAGAAAATTTACTATAAACTTAATTAAATTAAATTTTGTTAGTCTCTTGTCTTCTTTTTCATTTTCATTTTAAAAATCACTATAAATATGTAAATACCGTTTTCTATTTCGGTATGCCTTTCTTCTGTGCGATTTTTCAATGTAATAAGTAATTTTTCAGATAGTGATGTGTGCTGTTCTTTCGGTGACTGCAACATAAAATTTATTGTTGCATTATCTGTTAATAAATTAGAATCTCTCTGACATAAGGCCTTAACAGCCAGTTGTATTGGAAGTTGAGCTGATAAAGTTCTGGATATTAAATCGAATTCACTATCGGAAAAATTTATTTACCGTTTTAAGTCAATTATTGCTTTTCGGATTGGATTTTTTAGTTTCAAAAATCGTTCCATCATTAGGAGTAAACAGTTCCCACGTGTTTTAGAATCTAATATTAACATATGTTCTGTTTTATTTTCAGTTTGTATGTATTTTTGTAGTAAGGCATTTTTTGTATCAGAACGTTTAAATATCTCAACAATTTTTCGAACTTTATTAATTATTGGAAGCAATACTTGATGCGTCAATATTTCATCTTCATTAGCAATATCTTCTTCAACAATTACATTGTCATTATCTTCATTGTTAGTATCTCTCTCACTCTTTTCAAAGTCGGAATCTGAAGTTTTTATATCCATATACATATTTGAGTTGTTCTGCTTTTCATTTTTTGGTATAATACATCTATTATTGCTAATTGAATTCTGTGAGCATAGCACAATTGCTGATTTGCACCAATCAACTTTCCAACTTTTTTCATAACCGTCGCTCCATCAGTCGTTATGGATACAACATCTTCTTTCAGGGATAATCCACGTTTCCTTAATTTAGATTTAAGCACTTTCACACATTTTTTGGCTAACATTCTTCCCGAGACATGTGTAAGGCTTATATTCCAATTTTTTTTTTTTCTGAATGAATATTTATATTCAAATGGCGTCCATTTCTTACACTTGTCCATTCATCAAATGTAAGACTAAATTTTTCACCATTTACTTTTAATCGTATCAACTCGTTTTCAAGAATACGAAATGTTACTGTAGTTTAAACAGTTCTCTTATAGTGCTCATCGTGCTGGCAAATTTTAAACCTTGACGGACAGTGATTTCTTAATGAGTAGAAGGTAAACATCGAAATGGCAAACCATCTAGCGTCATTGTAGAGTCATTAGGATTTGTAGAGGCGAAGAGGAAAATAGCAAACGCCTTGCCGGGAATCGAACACGACCTCTGAATACCGCTCGGTGCAGAACCATAACCACGAAGGCCGTAGGAAATGGGAGAAATATTATATTTACTTAAATTCATTCAAATTATCTTTTTTTTTTTTTTTTCAAAATAATCTAAAATCCCTGACGGCTTGGGCTTAGAAACTGTGTTTAAATTTGTATCTTCACCGCAATTAGATTATTTCTTCTTTAACAAATTTGTATCATGTTTCGTTTTTAAATGTGTATGGACCTCCATTCACTTTAATAACTCCTGAACATTTTTTACTTTATGCCATCATATTCTTTTCGTCATATAAATAATGAAACCAAACCGAAGTATTAACAACAGATTTTTTTATGTTCTTTAAAGTTA